AGGGTGACAACTGCAGCTGCCGGGGAAGGAAGGAAGGACGGTTACGCAGCATGTGGAGCTCTGGAGACTTGCGAGGGATCACCGTCCCACTAACACGAGAGGCTCAGACAGGCTGAAACTGTCTATCTGGTACCCAAATCTTGTCCAAAGGCGACGCTTAAAGAGCCATCCTCTTGTCCAGAGGACAAAAACGAATGGGAAAACACCACGTAATGAGGTGGGTCTCCAGCAGGCGGAATTAAAATAGGGATCCTCATACACGTGAAGCAAAAAGGAATAACGGCTCCTCGCGGCTTCCGTAGTAAGAAGCACTTGTCCAGAGGACAAAAACGAATGGGAAAACACCACGTAATGAGGTGGGTCTCCAGCAGGCGTAATTAAAATAGGGATCCTCATACACGTGAAGCAAAAATGAATAACGGCTCCTCGCGGCTTCCGTAGTAAGAAGCACACCGTCAAAAATAGCTGTTTCCTGAACTACGGGATCCACAGAGGGTCATGTAACGAAGCAACTTCCGGTCTTTTCCCCAAGCCCTACTTCCGATGCAGTAGCAGAGTCGCTCGTGCCGGGACTTAACGCGTTTCTAGGCCGCCGTAGGCCCGGCCTGGGGCGGCTCTGACCTGACAGCCCGGCCGCAGGCGCATGGAGGGTTCCCCAGAGGGGAAGGCGCCCGCGGCGGCGCTGGCCGCCGTGCTAAAGCACAGCTCGGCGTTGCCGCCCGAGAGCGCCCAGGTCCGGGGTTACGACTTCAGCCGCGGCGTGAATTACCGCGCACTGCTGGAGGCCTTCGGCACCACCGGCTTCCAGGCAACCAACTTCGGGCGCGCGGTGCAGCAAGTGAACGCCATGGTAAGGCCTGGGGCGGGACTTCCCGGGCTGGGGGGCGTGGCCTCTAATAGGACCAATGTGGTACTTGGAGGGGTGGGGCTTCCCTTCGGGTGAGGGGGAGTGGCCTTCGCTGGGGGCGGCCCAATGGTTGGAGAGAGGCGGGGTCTGTCATGGGCGGGAGTTTCTGTGCTGGGAAAGGATTTTGCAATCCGGTTGTTAAATCCTAGTATAAGAAGTGGTGGGGCCTGATTGTAGGTACGGGCGGGTTCTAGGTTATTTTTTTTTAAATATAAAGATGACCGGTAAGGGGATCTCAACCCTTGGCTTGGTGTTGTCAGCACGACGCTCAGCCAGTGAGCCAAGCGGCCATCCCTATATAGGATCCGAACCCAGGGCCTTGGTGTTATCAGCACCGCACTCTCTCGAGTGAGCCACGGGCCGGTCCCGGGTTCTAGGAATATTTACTTACTTTTATTTTTTTTGGCGCAGCGGGCTGGTACGGGAATCCGAACCCGTGACTTTGGTGTTACCAGCATCACGCTCTGCCAGTTGAGCAAAGGGCCAGCCCATCTAGGCATATTTAAAGTGTTCTGGGATGGGTGGAGCCTGGGGCAAGACAATGTGGTTTAGGGAGGGAATTGGAGGAGGAGCCTCAATCAGGGTGGGGTTTGAACTTGGCTAGCGGGGAAGGTTACTGGACGTGAAAAAGAGATGCTCTCCGATTCCTAAAAGGGTATATAAAGCCTGAACGTGTGCCCTTAGATCGGGTCTGGGAAAGAGGCAGAGTCTTGCACAGGGGACATTCACTGGTCCCTGGTAGAAGTGGTCCTGTATTCCTGAGTGGGCAGAGCCTGGGGATGGAATCTGACTCTGAAACCCACCTGGGATCCCTGGGCTGGGGTTTGAGGCCAGATCTCTACCTGGCCCTTACTCCCAGATTGAGAAGAAGCTGGAGCCGCTGTCGCAGGATGAAGACCAGCATGCAGACCTGACCCAGAGCCGCCGTCCACTCACTGGCTGCACCATTTTTCTGGGCTATACATCCAACCTCATCAGTTCAGGCATCCGTGAGACCATTCGATACCTCGTGCAGCACAACATGGTGTGGACCTGGTGGGGCTGTGGCCCTGGCCTCTCTGGGTTAATGGGCAATAAAGTTGTTGATCACTTAAGTGAGATGGGGGAGATAGAGGTCAGTTTTTTTTTTTTTAAAGATGACCGGTAAGGGGATCTTAACCCTTGACTTGGTGTTGTCAGCACCACGCTCAGCCAGTGAGCAAACCGGCCATCCCTATGTGGGATCCGAACCCGGGGCCTTGGTGTTATCAGCACCGCACTCTCCTGAGTGAGCCACGGGCCGGCCCAGAGGTCAGTTTTAAATAGAGGGACAGAATCGAGTTTTGTTTTGCAGCACAGCTCACCTCTAAGAGTCACTGAATAAGTACTGAGGTTAGAAATCCTGCCCAGGTTGAAGGCAGAGCTCCCCTTCTTGGGCCAACCTTGCTGTCTTGTGGCTGCAGGTGGATGTATTGGTGACAACGGCCGGGGGTGTGGAGGAGGATCTTATCAAATGCCTGGCGCCCACATACCTGGGCGAGTTCAGCCTCAGGGGGAAGGAACTCCGGGAGAACGGTATCAACAGGTGGGGGCCCTGAGTGGTGCTGGGCAGGGTAGCTGGGCCGAGGGCCTTGGGACTGCTGCCCACATGCTTCCTGTCCCCAGGATTGGGAACTTGCTGGTGCCCAATGACAATTACTGCAAGTTTGAGGACTGGCTGATGCCCATTCTGGACCAGATGGTACTGGAGCAGAACACAGAGGTGGGGCTGGAATAACGAGAGGTTGGGTGGGGGGAGGGTTCAGCATGGTGGAAATCTGGGGAGGTGTGGGCTGACACTGATGTCCCCTCCTAGGGTGTGAAGTGGACTCCTTCCAAGATGATTGCCCGGCTTGGCAAGGAGATCAACAACCCAGAATCAGTGTATTACTGGGCCCAGAAGGTGAGGGGCTGGGTAGGGGCAGAGTTCCCAGTCTTCGGCATGTGTTGACTTGTTTTGTCTTCACAACCACCTGGGGAGTCCCTACTGTCATCATCTCAGCTGAGGAACCTCAGCCACAGATAGCTTAGGTAATTTGTCTGAAGTCACACAGCTATGGACTGGGGGTCCCAGTCTCCTGGCTCCACTCCTAGACTATCTGGGAATGGTTGGGGGCAGTGCTTAGCAGCTCCCCTAGGACCTAGCTCAGGGTCCCACCCTCCCCAGAGGCTGTGAAGCTCCACAATCTGAAAAGTAACAAGAGCTACCCCTCTTTATGTGCCAGGCACCATCATATGATGGTGGTGGAGAGAGGTGCTATTATCCTTTAGTCGAGGAGACAGGCCCAGAGGAATTAAGCACCCTGTCCAGTCAGGCAGAGAGGAGGGGATGCAACTGGGATGGGGACCAGGCTGCCCCCACCAGGCTCTGAGCGCCCGCCGCTGACTGGTCCTGTCCTCCCTCAGAACCACATCCCCGTGTTGAGCCCGGCGCTTACAGATGGCTCACTGGGCGACATGATCTTCTTCCATTCCTACAAGAACCCAGGCCTAGTCCTGGATATCGTTGAGGGTGAGGCGTGGGGGCCGCAGGGGAGTGGGGAAGGAGGGCTGGCCAAGCCTGAGGCCTGACCACGGCCCTCTTCCCCCCAGACCTGAGGCTTATCAACACACAGGCCATCTTCGCCAAACGCTCTGGGATGATCATCCTGGGCGGAGGCCTGGTCAAGCACCACATCGCCAATGCCAACCTCATGGTGAGTGCAGGTGGTGCGTGTGTCTGTGCCGTACGCTGGGGAGATGGCCAGGGACCAGAGAGGCCAGGAGCCCTGCCCTCCTGGGACTGACGTTCTAGTTGGGGAGACAGACAGCGAACCAGTGACGTGTGTCAGGTGGCAGTCACTGCTGTGCAGAAAAATAAGGCTGGGTGATGGGATGAGAAGGGAAAGGGTGCTGTTCAATAAAGGGTGTTGGAGGGGGCTTCTGGGAAATGTGACCTGTGAGCAGAGGTTTTTGGGAAGTGCCTCCTACAAGCCATTGGGGAAGAAAGTTCCTGACAGAGGGAAGAGCCAACAAAGGCTCTGAGGTGCCTGTAGGAGGCTGATGAGGGGAGGTGAGAAGTAGTCAGGGCAGCAGGTGACTCAGCAGAGCATGCTGGGCCTCTTGGGCTGCAGGGAGGGCTTTGGCTTTTGCTGAGGGAGGTGGGAAATGACCTGCCTCAGGTGTTGGCAGGTGCCCTCAGGCTGCTGTGGGGGGACAGATGGTGAAGGGTGA